CGGCCCCGCCCGGACGCTCACTCACTGACTGTGGGCTGGTGCGACCCTTTCGGCAAGGCCCGGGTGGTATTTTGGTTTTTGCTGCGGCCCCGGCGAGCCAATAACAAAAAAATGTCTGGTGTAGTACATTGGGTGTAAAGAGACCCGGCGGGACCACAGCAAAAACAAACACCACTTCCGCCCCTAAACCCCTAAACCGTTAAACCCTATAAACCCTAAACCCTAAAAACCTAAAACCCTTAAACCCTAAACCCTAAGCCCCTAAACCCTAAACTGCGGTTCTTCTCAAGTAACCCTAAACCCTAAACCCTAAACCCTAAACCCCACACCCCTAAACCCAAAACTGCGGTTCTTCTCAAGTAACCTTAAAACACCGGGCAGGGCCGAGGCCGGTGATCGGATGCCACGGCGGATACACTGCGACATACCTGGGGCGTCTCTTATGTCATAAGCAAGAGGGTCCATATATACTGCCATTATGGAATGAGGCCCCAAAAGACCATCCCTATTATGGTTTTGGGGACCTAATTCCATAATGGTAGTATATATGGACCCTCTGGGTAAGCACCCTTGAAAGGGGTCATAAGCACCCTGAGGACCCCTTACTTAAACCCTTAAATGAACCCAGGTATCATAGGGAGACTTAGGGGGGTGGGGGGGAGGGAGTAGGGGGCCTTAGATCCTCGAAATAAGGACCGAATAAGGCTTACTTAAGGAAGTTTAGGCCGATTTGAGGAAGTTGTCGTCTCCTACCACCCCCTTACCGCCCTAAAGGTCCCTGTGATGATGATTGGGGGTTTCCATAAAATCATCGGGAGGGCCCGGGACCCGGTTTAGGGTTTAGGGTGTTTAGGGTTTAGGGTTTAGGGTTTGGGGTTTAGGGGTTTAGGGTTTAGGGTTAGGGTTTAGGGTTTAGGGTTTAGGGTATACGGTATAAAAGTTCTTGTGATATGGGTAGTCCCTCACACATTTTGGGGTGCGGCTGCGGATCCCACCACAGTATGGTGTGTGTGTGTGTGTGTGTGGCGATCGCCCCGGCATCTTTGGGGTATACATGGTGCGCCTTTCACTTTTGGGGGGACCTGCGCTCACGTAATTCTGATTGAAACCATAGGGTTTAGGGTTTAGGGTTCAGGGTTTAGGGGGCTAATAAGCCTGACATAAACTCGCCTCGGCCCTCTCCTCTAGGTACGGAGCGGCGATGGATGCAACAATGATGACAGAATATTTGCTGGCATTCATATGTAGTGACGCAGGTACACATGTAGAGAAACAGCTGCCGAAGCAGACGCCCCAGAGCCAAATATCCACGCAAGAACAGAGTATACCTCATGCTGCGAGACAACCCCGTTCATGTTCAAAACAAACCAGCCCGAACAGAGGTCAAACTCATTAACACGGACCAACCCCAAGAGCGCAAAGTTTGAAAGTAGGAGGCCACTGAAGTACCTAATGGCCTAATGTTACCTAATGGCGAGGTCCTGATTGAAGCAAAGCAACTGGTCCACCAAGGCCTGGCAATGGCGCTCTGCCGCGGCCTCTTCTTCAACATTGTGTACAACGGTGCTGAGTACCCTAGCCCAAAACAAGTTAAGCTTTTCAATGACGGTAGGATTGTATAAACCGCAGAGCTACTAAGTACTAGAGTTTTAGAGAAGATTGTGTCAGGTCGAATATAGAATCTGGTACGGCGTACCATATTGATCATGTCGGGGGCGTACTTCAAGTACAGTAGGGCTTTGCGGTGTCGTGTAGCGTACTTGCTGTATTGGGAGCCTGGGCCCTGAACGCTGGAACCGTCACCTTAAAAAATGAAGGTTGCAAGCTCGGTGCATCGGATTTGCTCCAGGTCCGAACTGTTCAGGGCTTTGGGGTTTCGGGTTTAGGCCTCAGGGCTTAGGACAGGGTTTAAGTCAAGTTCAGGTCTGCGGTTTCAAACCTATAAGCCTTATGTTTTAAACCAGAAAAGCATACAGTATAAATGTACCCGAAGGGTGGGCAAGAATAACCCAAAGAACATATACCGGAGAACTGAGACAATGAATCACTCGCTCTTCGGAGAAGGCAAGCACCAGATAACAACAAAGCAGACAAAATACCGACTTGGGTATCTGAGCAGAACCCAACCCCTATGTACCCAGCGAAACAACGAAGATCCTGAGTTACTAAAGGTTTAGGGTTCAGGGTTTAGGGTTTAGGGTGTTTAGGGTTTGACTAAACCCTGAACCCTAAGCAGCTAATGAGAGCTTCATGTTCAGCACTCAGCATCTGGCCCAGTCTGCAGCAGCCATGGCCGCCGTGTGGGCGCTCGCCTGGTAGACTCATAAGTGGGGTTTAAGGTAGGTTCAGGGTTTTGTCAAGTGCTTCCAATTCCGTTCCTGTGACCCTAAACCCTGAACCCTAAACCCTAAACCCTAAGATGGTGCTCGCCCAAACATCTGACAGCGACTGGCAGCTCCTCTTGGGTCGTCATCATCCCGAGGGTCCAAGTACCGATATAATAGTCATATACTCTCCCAACTAGGTTTAGGGTTTAGGGTTTAGGGTTACCTAGATAACAACTATCCGCAGCCAAAGTACCTTATTATTGCGTCCTTTAGACCCTTAGGGTCGTGATGGCAGAGATGCGCGCAAAGATGTTCCTCCCTGGTGATCAAGCATCATCTAGAGACTCCAATATCCCTTAAGTCAGGGATATACCTTAAATCATATTAAAGATCCTACTATAATTTAAGGATTGTGGCAATGGAAACCCCAGCCTCTGACATCAGCGAGAGTTCCAGGTCCGAGAGTTTGTGGTTTCTGAGGCTGCCTGATTTGCCTTGCTGAGCTTGCTGAGCCTTCCACGGCAGCCACCAGTGTCCCCTGGACGACATGGTGCTCACTGAGGGCACCCCCCGCAACCGCACACGTCAGCTTGAGGTCCACATCCTGGAGTGATGACAAGGTCCTGTTCCTGAGGTGCGCAGCCAATGCCCTTACCGACTCCTCCTGCGAGGCAGCCACGCGATCATCCCAGGAAGTCACCGGACACCCTGAGGCATGGTTGTACTGTGGCAGAGATGAAGTCACGGAGGGCAGAAGACCCCATAGATGGGTCGAGACTCAGGAATTGGGTCCGTACAAACCTCTGCAGGGCAGCCTTGTCCAGTGGATCAACTCGTCCAGCTCCTTGGACCGCATCTGGTAGACCGGACTGGCACGGATTTCCTCAAGGAGCTCATCCACAGTGCTGCTCTCGCAGCCGCCTGTGCGTCGGCTTCAGCATTCTTCAGCGTTTAAAGGCTTGATCCAAACCAACCACATGCTCGATGGTCTTGGCGGCTGCCACCATGGATTTGAAGCTCTCCAAGCTATCCAACCCGGGGCCCTCCGGAGCCTCATCAGCAGCCGTTCCTTAAATCATATTAAAGATCCTACTATAATTTAAGGAATACTCCTTAAACCATATTAAAGATCCTACTATAGTTTAAGGAATATTCCTTAATTAAGGAATATTGGAAGCTCTGGGCAGTTGGCGGCATATCTGGGTTTGAACCTCCGATCTTCCTTGCCTTCTCCCTGTTTAGGTTGTTTAGGGGTTTGGGGTTTGGGG